AAACGGCCGCAAGGCAGGATCATGGACACGCATATCAAGATCGCTGCAGTGTGGGAATGGTCTTGCTCCATCCAGAAGCTTTTCGGGGGGCCTACAGCGTACAGATTGAACTGGAAGGGTTTACACTCGCTAGCTTAAACCAGGAGTTACAATAAGGCCGCGTTGATTTGATTATATGAATGACATCCTCTGGGAACCCACAAAACTGATGCGAGCGTGCGAATAAAAAAGTTTGGCAAAAATCTACGTGGTCATGAAGGGTGAACAAATGACTTAACATACAGAGTATGCTACAGCAAATAATAGACTGTTCATTTTCATTTTCTGTCTTTCCTTTGGAATTAATTTTGGCATTCCACGACATTAGTATCGTTTTCCAATATTTTATTTTGAATTTACGGCAAATATTTGCTCATTTTGAAGCTACTTTGTGCGATGTACAGTATGGTCGAAAACATTCTTTTTTTTTTTTTGGAAACGGACGAAAATTAATGCACGCGCAGATGTCATCCATATAATCAAATCAACATGGCCTTACAATAATATAAGCTTTGAAAAAGTCGTTTCAGGTATATATATGAGAATGGTCTGACAGTGCCGAGTCAGGCCGTGACTTGTTTATTGTAGTGAGTTCTGGACCGATACGGTTGAGTTTATATAGTGCCAATAATGTGCTAGCTGCAGTCAGGAGTCCTGAGATGGTACTCACGATACCACCACAGAGTACGTCACAACGACGTCATCGCGCGTGTTTCGTGCTCGATGTTGGGTGATGGTCGTGCTTGGCGGGGCAGGATGGCCGACATATCGTGCCACACAATCTGCTATCATCCGACATAATTACACCTTTTACAAGCGCACAATAAAAATACGGCGCTATCGCTATCTCTGCTTTAGACGAACGAGACGAAGGGATTACGTGGATTACGTACTTAAGGTCTTAAGTTCTTTTTTGGTACACAATACTTCTGATGCACTTCACAGAAGAACTTAATTGACAAAAGTACAGCGACTTACGTAAGGTCTATAACTAAACATACAGACATGCTCTTTCTTATTTTGTATAATATTTACCACGTGTGTGTAAAAATATGTGTATAGATTTATTGGGACTTTGAATTATGTAAACTGTTATATTTATATTGTCTGACCCTTACCTCTTCCCACATGACCTCAATAAAAAGCGGCATGCAGGCCTAGGCCGATTTTAGCATATCATAAATAAAGAATATTTCAAACAAACACGCTAACAATCAAATTCTTGCTGTAAAAGTATACAAGTTCGGAGCTGTAGAACACAGCAAGGCCAACATCAAAGTTTTGATATAACACAATACTTCTACTTTTTCTATTGGAGACTGACAACACATCAGTACACGGGTCATCAAGGCAGTCGAAACTGGTAGTAGATGACCCACAAATACAGACGTTATACAAACATGAAAAATAAAGAAATGTAACTGTAAAATACAAAACCTGAAATAATGTTAACACCATTAACTGGTGGCAGAATATTACACAAATTTACACGTAATACAACAAATAAGTATACTAAAATCATTCCTACCTAGCAGCAAATCGTACATGAATGTGTGGATATAAGTTGGAACTAGTGGAAGGCTTACGGTTACAAAAGATATTAGATATAATATATACAATATATAACAAGTCACTCTTGGTAGACTCAATGATGACAGCATGATGAAGATTTATGACGGCTTTTCCTTCGGACGACAATATAGCTTGAGGGGAGAACCTGTGTATATAACGGAGTTTCCGTGGGCGGATCGTAATAGAATCAACATCGGTGCAAGTAGGGACATGTTTGGTTAGGCCATGTTGATTTCATTACATGGATGACATCCTCTGGGAACCCCTAAAACTGACGCGAGCCGTGCGAGTAAATAAAGTTTGGCAAATAAAAGCAAGTTGCCTTCATTATGAAATCTACGGGATCAGGAAGGTTGAACAAATGACTAAACACACGAGTATGTTATCAATGGTGAATCATAGACTCTTCATTGTCATTTCTTCACATTTTCTTCTTTTCCTTTGCTGATTTTGGCATCCTACAACATTAGTATCGTTTTCCAAGACATTATTTTTTCATTTTTCGGCATATATCTGTATCTGTAACATAAAAATTGTCTTCACTTATTTGCATATCAATCAACAGTTTGTGCTTATAAACCTGCATTTCTCCTCTGGTCTCTCAGTCACTGACGAAAGCTAGTGGATACTAGCTGAAACGTCTGACCGTTTCCAAAATCATATCCAGTTGCTTGAGTGCTTTTTGCCGTATCTGTATCTGTATACCCACCCTTCGGCGCAACACACCATTTTCGCAGGCATGCGGCGCGGCGGCAGCTGGCTACATTTCACCGAACGACTTAACCTTAGATTTCGTAACACTCGAAATCTAACTCTAAACATTGTTAAAAGCTCTCTAGTGATAATGTCTCTACTATACTTCGTGATCTCTGCGATAGTTCTATGAAAGAATGAATTCTTGAACACCTCAATTCTTGGTTGATAACTCTGGTACTTGAAGGCATGACTATTTCTTGTTCTCTATTTGATCATATTTTTGCACCTGCTTTGCACGATTTAGAGAATGGTTGAAAACGTTTTTCAAAGGACGAGAAAAATTCATGCGTGTGAGGATGTCATCCATACAATCAACCCAACACGGCCTAATGTAACAACAAAAGGTCGTCGACATGGGAATGTGCGTTTGCATTCAAACGGGAAGGTAATTCATATAGCTGTCAAGCGTGCAGCGTTCGCCCGCTAGTTTTCCTCGAACGGTAAAAGTGAAGTGATCGGGCCGCGGTCCCCGGGGACCCGCCGCGTGCGTCACAGTCTGGCGGGGAGGAGAGTTTGTTTCAACCAATTACCTGGAACGTTACTTCGCTTTTTTTTACAACAAGACAGTGAACGTTAACTTTTAAGTAAAGCCCCTGTCACACGTAACTGAACATGACCTTTACGAACACTAGCCGAACTCCCCCCAACCATGGTTAGGACAAAACGATTCGTCTCCAGTGGAAATTACGACTCCTCATAATAACAGATCATTATAACGTGTGGAGTACCACAAGGATCCATCTTAGGCCCCCTTCTGTTTTTGATTTAAGTCAATTAAGTCGGGAGCAAGGTTGGCTGTGGTCGGCTGGTGTTTGGCTAGGTTGGCTACTGTTCGGCTCCGCCAGCCATATACTTTACAAAATGTTTAAAACATTCGGATGTGGACGGGAGGTTGAGCCATGGTTGGCTGGTGTTCGGGAGTAGGTTTGGGCGTGAAATTTGACTTAACTAACTAACTAACTCACTCACTCCGTCGAGCTCGCTCGGAATCTTCCCACGACTATCTTTCTTAATAACCCTCTGTTGTCCAAAGCTGCAAGCAATTGGCAATCAGTTCACTCAAATTTAACTCAAATCTGATTCGATTCGTATAGACAAATCGAAGTAGCCTAAATCTGGTCATACTTCTCCCGAACTTCAGGTAACCTTCGGGGGAATGAATGTGTGATAAGGGCTTTAAGTAGTAAGCACACCCCCTCCTTCTTAGAATCTTAGAACTGTGCCAACGACATGAAAGCTCGGCAGTATTTACTTGTATCTCCTTGTAGTGACATTCCTTACTTTTTACGGAGGCATATTCTGTGGCTATTATGGCCCCTGGGTGGTCTATCGTGAGCGACAGAGATGGGTAAAATGCCCATCACGCTAATGGACCATGACGCAAAACAACGTTACCTACCCACCATATCCTGTGGATCACTACTATAGTTCACCATTGTGCCATGATATTTGGTTCTGATAAACTGTTGTTGAACATTCCAAACTCAACTCAAACAAGAGATCTCAGACTTCCTTGAAATATTTCCATATCTTATGTGTTGGTGGCTGTATCCTCTTCTCATTCACCATGGTGCATACAAGTTTTTTTATATACCGTGCAAGGGAAACAACATCAGCTGTCAATGAGGTCATGTAACATAAAACGCATGTGAAAATGAATAGCTAGCGCTACCAACTGAAAAGCAACCATATCCATTACAGCCTGTCATGCGGAAACACTCACACACACACACACACACACACACACACACACACACACACACACACACACACACACACACACACACACACACACACACACACACACACACACACACTAAAACATTGCCGCCACTTTTCGTTGAGTTGAACAGAGGAAAAGTCAGAACGTATGAATATAAGACTGTTAGAGAGTTTATTTACTCTGTAACTGATTCACAAAAGACATGCTCCATTCTCCAACAACAGCAGCTTTCAAGCATCATGTAATCATGCCAGAATTAGCTACAGGACATGATTTTACACATATCCTATTAATGGGATGATGTAACAACATAAAAAGAGCGAGCGCTTATAGGCCGTATTTATGTAGGCTTAACCTCCGACCTTTACCGTCCATTATCGCTTCTTAACTGTGTTACGTCAATGTAGAATTTAACAGCTTGGTCATAGTCGGTTAATTTGGCATAACATGTCACTTGCACTTAGTAGCTTCATCACTCTGCTTATAGTACTTTTATCATTGTAATGAAATGTTATAAAGGTTATTACGGGTTTGGCATCTGACATAAACTTTGTCCGGCCTTGTCCGAGTTGTAACGGGGCTCCTTGCATTCGCTTTTTCGGGCCAGTGAATGCAAGGAGCCCGGTACAAATCGGATGGCACCCTGGTCAGCTTCGACCAGCACGTGAGCGATCTTTTTACAGATGGCTTGCCAGCTGAAATGAACAAGTTACCAGTCGAAACTTTGAACACATCTCGTATATATGTTCCAAAGTTTGTATAGTATTTTATTTCACCTCAGTGTACACTTTGTATTAGTAGAATACGTTTTACAAGACATTTCTAAATGAAGACGAATCATGTGTAATTGTTTTCTTGAGACTTGAACGATTGATAACAACATACATATTTTTTTCCGTTTATTTTTCAGTCTTTCGCAAGTGCGAAACGCTGCTGTCCAGGCTAGTCGAGAGTCCACAGTGCCAGGGATCAGGGTAACCGTCAAGCAATGCCCTCAGCGTCATACAAAGGCTCCAGGTGAGAATTATCTTCTTTTTAATTTTCACATTTTTCCATTTTTTCTATTCTCTTATTTTTCTAATATTAAATTTCTCTTTTTCAAATTTCTTTTAATTATTATTTTTTCTATTATTTTTCATTATTCTTTAGTCCTTTTTTATTTCATCATTTTATTTATTGTTATATTTCATTATATTATATACATGTCATTATGTACTTGTAGATAGTAAATTATGTATATAAAAACATTTGGGACATACAATCAAATATGTCTGTGTGACGAAACTTGTGATAAACCTGTTAGGTATATTTATCACATTAGTCTATTGAACTCTTTCTGACGACAATATGTGTAGTACCTGACAACTTGATATGGTTGAAAGGAAAGAGAAGTGGTCTCTACCCAATTTCCCTAGCTCTTTTCGACAAGCATAATGAACAGTGGACCACAGCTAAACGTCCTGTCCTAGGGACTGCGACTTTTTCCAGTAGCGTGCATGTCGGGTGAGCCACAACAGCCCGGATTCGAACTCCCAACCTCTTTGGTCCAGAGGCAGGGTCGCTAACCACTCGACTACGCACGCTACACGTAAATTTCTTGCTGGGCGTAGAAAATTTAGCACTTTCCGTCATTTAGATAATATCTCCCATACATCCTTGAAAAGAATGAAGCATATCACCATAACTAGAGATGCCGAGTTGATACAGTGACCTGCGGGTCAGTGCATGACGTGACATCGGGGCTATCCGGAGGTAATTGGCCATTTCGCAGCCCCATAAACTCAGAAATGAGGGCTGCTCCCAAGAGAGACAGACAATTTTGCGTCTGCGAGACTTCGCAAAACATTAAACCGCGTGAGGTCTAGATCGGGGGTGGGTTACATGTATGTTTATATCGCGGTTGGCACCCATCTCATTCACGGCAATGTGTGGCAACAGTCTGGACCATTGAACATACACGGTCTGGTCAGGGCTATTTAGGCTCCATTACCACTAGGATGAAATTGTCTGGATCGAGCCGAAATGATTCGTATTAATCCGGATTCGAACCGAATCGGAGCCGGATCAAAGCCGGATCAAAGCAAATTAATTCGGCTCGATCCTATGACAAGCATCCAATGTGATTGCATCATTGCAGGCGGGCGACACACGTCATCAGCTATCCGACCTACGTGCTGTAGACACGTGATTTTTTTTCGCACGTGTGACGTCAGCACTTGGTCAAAGTTCGTTGAAGTCGGTACCGCCCCCCGTCCCGGTTGAATTAAAGGCATCCAAAATTGGTTTTTCAAAGTCAATATTCTGGTTATTCTTTCAACCCTATTCCATAGCACACTGATATCTGAGGCTAAATAATGTCATGTCACTGACAGAAAATGGTTGGTCATATTCGGCTTTGTGTGACGACAGGGGCTTAATGGTACTACTGCCTTCTGTTGCAGGCCCAAAGGCTGTCAGCGTCTCGGGAAAACCTTGCACAACCCTGACTGCAGCTGCCGTGCGGACCTCAGCAGAGGTGAGCGGACAGGAGAAGGAGAAGAACCCAGCCCCCAGCAGACAGGCAGCAGCGCCCGCTGTCTTCCTCCTGTCATCACCGATGTGAGATAGCTTCAACCAGCGGCAGGGGATATAGCGGTGGTCGAGTAGGCAAAGATGGGTACATGTACCTGCAGTCCCATTCCAATAGCTTGTACAAGGTTTTCCCTTTTGAAACATGGACTTCAGATACCAAAGAGTCCTCCCAGTGGAGCCGAGAATTGCTGTTGACAAAACAAAAGAAAAAGCGCCTCGTCGCTCATGTCCCTCCAGAACATACAAGTTTGCTCATTGGTTGCCATAATAATAGTACAGCAACATTAACAAAGTAACAGGACTTGTGGGACTTATTAAACGGATTAATTTAGCTGTTTTTATGGTTTCTTGGCTGAACCATTATAAGAGAACCCATAGTAAGGATTTTACAACTCTTATATTCGGTTTTTCAGATGTGTCACTCATGTCTACCTACTCCTAAAGCGTTTTCATTTAATCTTGACTTTCCCCAGAAGATTTGACAAAATTGATTATACTACAGCGAATGGATGTAACAGTCGTAAAAGCCAAGGAGGAAAAACAGCCGAGGGATTCATATAAACGTGCGGTTACTGTCTACCTACGCCTGAACGTAAAAGTCCTAGTACCTGTCTAGCAATATAGCTGTTGTCCAAACTTCCTCTAACCGGAATAAGAGATGCTGAGAGAAAAGAAGTTGAGCTCATCAAACCAAGCGTGGCTATACTGTGGCCCCGCAATGCTATTCTATATCAGGACGGACCGGCAACTAAATCCTTCATTAGATGATAGAAAATTTGCTGGTCCAGATTATTAGTGTTGAGATTTGATGGCGCTGGGCGTCGTCTTGTGCTTGTCATGTAACCTCCCTCTCCGATATTACCGTAAAGTTCGAGATTTGTTGCAAACGTGCAGGATATGTCTAGGACCGTATATCCTGCGCTTCGGTTATAACATGTAGTCACTACATTTCTATCGATACAAACCATTTACTCAAGAACGTTTTAACCTTGTATACGGGAAATACAACAGAGGAAGATAGTATAAACAGAGATATCGCAACAACAACAGTAGGTGACGCTGCATATAGCATTTCACAGAAACTCAGGAAAAAAATGCATGACTAGTCAGACTTTGCCAATGTACGTATCGCACAGTCCGTTGTTGTATGATAGGCAGAGCTCTAGCGACGAAATGATGCCAAACCTGGGTTGAGACTGCACCAATGCAGCAGTCACCCCCAGCAGAGCTTTGTGTAACCAACCAAACGCCTGTGTATGTTCTCTGTCGTTAACTTTTGTTGGTATATAAGGCCATGTTGATTTGATTATATGGATGACATCCGCGCGCGCATGAATTTTCGTCCGTTTCCAAAAAAGTAGTTCTCGACCATCGTACAAAGCAGTTGCAAAATGAGCAAATATATGACGCAAATTGAAAAAAAAAAACTTGGAAAACCATACTTATGTCGTAGAATGCCAAAATCAATTCCAAAGGAAAACAAAATGTGAAGAAATGAAAATGAAGAGTCTATTATTTTCGCCACACCAAAGTCTGTATCATTTGCTAAGCCTTCATGACCACGTAGACTTTATAATGAAAGCAACTTTTTTTGCCAAACCTTTTTTGTTTGTTATTTGCACGCTCGCATCAGTTTTGGGGTTCCAAGAGGATGTCATCCATATAATCACATCAACATGGCCTAAAACAGAGGCTCTTATATTTTGATGGTACCGGTTTAACATACAGTCCTATACGCGGTTGGGGGACAACGCTCCAAAATGACGGTACTTGGAGTTGTGACTTTTTGTCTCAAAACGATTGACGGAGAAACAGAAAGTATACAAGAAAACATGTAAATCTATCATATTGGGATGTGCGGTTGAGTGCTTCGGCGACTAGGGACAATGTATATGATTCCTCCATGTACAAACGATAGAGAAAACAAGTTGACGATACCGGAATGTTTCATACTCCGATAGAAAATGATATCAAAGCTTATTAATAAGTTATTTAACGATGTTTTTGGACGTCGTGCCAGCCAGAGGGTCTCAGCCCAAGACCAGCCCTACACGCCTGGGGGTCAGTTATTTATATGAGATCCATATTAATTATTATTGGAGATGACAAACGTGAAGTATTTTAGACTCCGGTAGTTTCCACTGCCGGTAAATGATGTGTGTATTCCCAGCACCAACTGACGCTATCAGTAGCGGGTATAGAAGAAAGGAGATATTTATTTTACTGATATATGACGGGGTATCACATGTGACTCCCGTATATATATTATGATACTCTAGACTCTTGTCATCTTGCGTCAAAGGTAAAGCTGCTGTCACACATAGCCGGATATGGCCTCCCGACTATTGGCTAACCTCCCCTCAACCATGGTTGGGAGTATGTCGGGAGCAAGGTCGGGTGGTGTTCGGTCAGGTCGGTTACTGATCGGCTGTACAAATGTTTTAAAATGTTCAAAACATTCGGGTGTGGACGGCCATAGTTGGCTATTGGTTGGCTGGTGTTCGGGAGCAGTTCGGGACGTGCATGTGGTTGGTGGGCAGTAAAATTTAACTCAAATACGATTCGATTCGTATCGAAAGGTAGGCGTGGACTACTCCCGAACTTTAGCCAACCTCGGTCGGCTGGTGATCGGGGGAAGGTTGTACATGTGTGGCAGGGGCTTAAGGGGAGGCCAACACGACACAAGAGTTCCATAAGGACAACTACCTACCTCCTTCAAATTGTAGAAAATAACATCTTTCCTGAAACCCTCACGGTGATAGAAAATTATAACTCCTCACACTAATGTTATACTTTTCACACGTGGACACAAAAACGTCAGTACAATTCTTTTACAACTCGGGGGGACAACTTCAAACGCAACACGGTTATGTTTATTTCAGAGTTCATTAGTTGAAGGCATCTAATGCAGTTTTAGGGCGGCAAAAAAACCCAAAATATTCTGGATGGGGAAATTTGTCTGATATCGACATTTACTGTCGTTTCTTAGCACATTTGCGTCATCATTTCACGTTTGATGCGTTTGAAACAGCCCCAAAACAAGCTACGTGAGTTGTCTCTTTATTTTTTGGTACCACCCGCAAGTAAGCTAGAACAAGCCTACGATACAAAACAAGCAACCGTTTTTCCGTCAGCGACATCGCATTCTTGCCTCACAGATATCAGTATGCTATAGGATAGGATTGTTTTAACTTAATACCTTAATTAAAAGAATGAAGACAAAATTGACTTTGAAAATCCAGTTACGTCGCCCTGAAATCGCATTGGATGCCTTTAAACGTTAAACATCGAATCCGAAACAGACATTTTACATGGTAATTTACCACTGGGAGCTTCAAAGCCTTCCAAATCACCGGCCATGTTGAAGAGGTGCCCTCCCCAGATCTGTTGGACCGCTGTGAAGTGTTTGCCTTTCCTTGATGGGATTGCTTAATTCAGCTGTAAGTCGTTATATTGTGCAAAAACGATTTCCCGCTCAATAGCGTTGTCACCCGTCATTACACAATGATCGTATCTGATCCTAGCTGTAAAAGAGATTTCTTGTCGGAAATGGTCAGGATTATTACAGCAGATACAAGAGGATATAGGATATTACCAAACTGGCGTACAAAATGAGCCTGGAGCAATAAAAAACACTAATAATCAGGAAATATCTGTGTAAGAATCTAAGTCAGACTTTATGTACAACCTCATTGAGAGAATGTCTGTCGGTGTTGTGACTGTGGCTAGTTGTGAAAATATCTCTTTCTTCTGTTTTTATAATAGAAGGCCGTTGGACCAAATAATTACGGATGATATGTGGTGTGAAAACAAAATGGCGCCAAGCTAGGTGTGTTATACGCAATCCAAGTTTTTTCTTTTTTCATTCGCTTGCACTGGTTTTTCAATCATCTACATTTCTGGAAATGTGGTGTATATCGTCCAGTTAGCTGAACTCAGTTGTAAGCTACATAATAGGATGTCTGTGCAAAAACATTGCAGATAAAACTACCGATTATGCCACATTAATCGTAAACCTCATTCGACGAATAACGCCCCTCCCCCATATTTCACAGAGCCATATACATGTATATATATATACAACAACAGAGTATAGATTCGAATTCACCAAACGGAAAAGTTGGTGTGGTATAATATAACAGTAGCTGTAGTCAAAATATTTTGCATCCGGAGTATATATAATATATTTTTTAAACTTTGCGTCGAATGCTTCTCTGTCCATGCTGTAGGTTTTAGCAACTGAACAGTAGCCACAAACGATACCCTATCTGTCATATAACGTACCCTAACCCATGTCACTTTGGCCTAGGAAAAAATGTTGTGTTTCCGGTTTTCCGGTCGACCATAGAAAAATTTAACCCACCCTACACTTTTTTTACTCAACCGCTGGTATGGCCATAATCTTTTTTTTTATTCGACCTGACATCTGAATTTCAAACCCCCTGAAAGTAATCTAATAATTTTTCCTCAGCAAATCGGGTGAAACATTTGTCCACAAGCAAACAGGTGGACGGGTCATTGAGATATTGCATTGTTATTATTTGTTGGATCATTTAGCCAAAATCTAAAAAAAAAAGAAAAACAAAGAAAATCCTTCCCTACCGACCCTAGTTATTTTCAGGACTGAAACTTGAAACACAACATTGATTTTTCTAGGCCGGCCATTCCGGAATGTGACTCGTTTGCCAACCATTGAATCTATCGTTACGTTTCTCTAGGCTATTTATTAAGTCAAAGAGCGGATGAGTTTGTCCCATATATACCCGTCATTCTCTACAGAGGAACTCATTTTAAATTTGCGTCTGTTTTTGATGCAGATATATATTATAAACGCCGTGCCATGCAGTTATTTCTCCATTCCTGTACCCAGTTTTAGATGCTGCGTGTCGTGTGAAGTGATCGTATGTGACACGGTGCCCGAGAAAAGCATATTAAATCAAGGAAATAGCGTAGGAGTTGTTAGATGCTGATTTGTGCCTAACATTCAGAATACCCCCTAGATATTAAACTGTATTGATTTCTTCAAGCAATTGATGATTAGATGATATTCCCGAGGTTTTAGTCAGCCGATATTTTTGCCCTTTGCTGTAATCATTTAATCAAGACGAAGTTGAAGTGTATTCAGTGATAGATATGTACGTGAAGTTGACTATTTGAGGATTAAAGTTTCTTGATTTGTATATCCGAGGGCGACGATGCTGCTTGTCGATGGGTATTTGAGATCTATACAGGTGACGACATCGGCAAACCCCTGTGATCGAACGCTTTAGGCGTAATCTTAAAATATACAAGATGGTGTGACTTGAAACGGAAGTGATGGTATGATAGCCGTGGGCATATATAAAAATCAGCTAATAATCCCAGCTACGGGTGAAACTAGCTATAAATATAAGACCTTTTATTGATTTATTGTCTTCTGAAAAAAAGATTTTGCAATTATATCTTGGATGATGAAAAAATTACAGTTAAAAGTTACGATGGGAGTCCCAATGCGGACATGCTCTAGTTTCCAATTGTGTTAGAAATTGCATCTTGCTTAATGTACTACTGGCATATTGTTGTCAGAAAGTTACAACAACAAAGAGACATTTCATGAAGAAGACGGAGCATTACTTTTGGAAAATAAAAGAGAAAATATGAATATGTCTTTGTGTGTCTCATCACTTTGTGTCTTTACATGGAAATGAGTATGTGAAGCATGTAACATGTTGAACCAATTAAGGAAAAAATATGTTGTGTTTCCGATTTCCCGACCGACCCTAGCAAAAATCAGCCGACCCACCGCTGGTAAGATTATAAAATTTCGATCTGGCATCTGAATTTTTCAATTTTTCTTAGTCATGTAATGCATTTTCAGATGAAATGTTTTTTTCTTCAGTAAATCGGGTAAGATATTTGTCCACAAGCAAACAGGTGGATTGGTTCTTGAGACAGTCCCGGTGCATTGTTAAACTTTGTTGGATCATTTTTGCCAAAAACTAAAAAAAAAAACTAAAAAACTAAAGAAATCCCTACCTACCGACCCTAGTGTTTTAGGGCTAAAACCGGAAACACAACATTACTTTTCCCAGGCCTCACCAATGAATGACGAGAAGTCTTAAATTTCTCTGCGTGTCTTGTAAAATATCATGGTTTACAATGTAAGCTAGCACAGCTATGGATAGAAACTCCCCGTCGGCGATTTGACTGGCAATCGTGGGGAGAATCAGCTCACTGACAGTCAGTCATGTGTGTGTGCTAGTGGTCGCATTTACTTTTGCCCTACTGAAGGAGAATTTGAATAAAAAAGTACTACTTTAAAAAGTAGAACCGTTAGTTGCTGCAAATACAG